TTAAAAAAACTTTACTTCCAAATAATTTAGGTTGACTTAAAAATTTAGTTATTTGGTTTCCATATAATTATTGATTTTATCACTTGATGGATGCAGCATTCATAGTTTAACAAATTATTATTTACTATTTGTTTAATGAAAACACTATTCACTAGTGCTTAGTTAGAATGTTGCTTTGTTGTAATGTTACTTAGTTGGAATGTTGAAGTTTAGATAGGGTTTTAAAAGTTTTTTAGCAATGTCAGATTTTTTCTTTAATTGCGTTCAGGAAAAGAAGAGTGCTAGTTTTTTCCAGTTAGTTACCTTCCTGTATATGTCTTATAAATATGCCTTTCAATATATGCCTTATTATGCCTTCCAGTATCACTCAATGCTTTTTCACCCACCTCCTTATCAATATGGTACTTGAAAATTCTAATATCGTTAATCAGAATTAAGTCATTATTTGGTTCATTGATAGCATTTGTGCAGGTAGGCCAGTTTTTGGCATGAAAATCACCAGGTTTGTAGAAAACAAATCTAGCTGTTGGCTTTTCTCCAAGTAAAATTGCTGTGATTTTGTAAAGCTCAAGGTAATTACTTCTAAGTTACTCTGCCTTGTTTTAGAGTTAATCCAAGACATAATTGCATATTGTTCATCATTGTCAGCAATTGGTCTTGAACTTTGAGTGTTGCAAAGCTCTTCTACTTGTTTTTCAACTTTATCCTGATTTTTTAAGTCTGCTGCAAACCAAGCAAATCTACAAGGTTTGAATAATGGTTGTTCAAACAAATAACATGGTTAAAAAAAATCAAAAGAACAGAAAGAAGACTGATTGGAAGATAATTAGAAGGGTCATAATGTTCACTAGAGTTTTAAAAATTGGAACAACAGATGCCATTTTCCAGCAGGCAGGAAATCAAATATGACTTTAGTAATGGGAGCTGGAGTGATTACATCTGAATGAGTTCAGTCATGGGAAGAAGGCAAATGATAAAGAACAAAGAGAAAGGTGATAAAGTGAATAGGTGCTAAAGTGAATAGGTGCTAAGCAAAAGTGTATAAAAGAATGGTCAAAGGATTCAAACCTGATTTCACGACAAATAGGTGAATTGATGCTAATGTATACCCCCTAGCCAGGCATGTGACAATTGGAGTCTTTAGGAATCAAAGGATAGTACCCAATAACACTAAGATCTAAATTTAAAAGTCTAAATTTAATTAAGAGTAAGCAAGTCTGATGAATTTTGCAATAGGTTAGATTCAACTGATAGAAGGTTGCTTCACAAACCACGAATATTAGTAAAAGATATATTCAAACAGTTAGGTGGTGGGGATGGATGGGTTTTTATGTTTATGGGGGTTGTGTGGTTTTTTATGTTTAATATTTTAGGTTACTTTTGGCATGATTTAAGTTTAAAGAGAACTTGACTGATTCATAGTTGGAGCACAGCCTCCTAAGCAATTTTTCTCAATCCTGCTAATTATCTTTAAGTCGTAGCGTAGGGTTCCTTATGAGCCTCAACAATGAGCACCAAAAGCATTAACAGGAAAAGCATCCATGTGCAACATGATAACACAGGTTTACATCTATGCCAGCCTAATAAATGAAGAAGGGATTTGAGGCTAGTTAGCAGAATTATTCTGCTTACCCCTAAAATATTTGTCTAGGAGGCCTCCTACAAGACAGTAGCTGGATGCAGTTAAGATCCTCCTAAGATGAGTATTTTTATGAAGACACAATCTCTAATCTCATAAATGATTTAAACCAAGGTCTAAATTATTGTTTTAAACCATTTGGTTCAAGCCTATCAACCCTGAAATAAAGGTTAACTGATTTTTCATAATTTAAACCTAGCTTTAAGATTTTTTTAATGAAAAGTCAGGTGACTTATATTTTCCATAACAACACCCATACTTCTTTGATCATGATATAATAGAATGATGGCTGCAAGCAAGGTAGAGTATTTTTCTATTTAGATGGTTTTTAATGCAGTACCTTGAATGTAACCAGAATTAGTTGTTGTTGTATATCTGCAAGTATCAACATATGTTATTTAAATATTCCTCTGTTGCAAAAGATGAATGCATATATTTGTTTCAGCTGTTTCTGATTTAAAGTTTGAATTCCAAGAATCTTTACTTGCAGGCAATCGGGTGTGTTTCCAGTATTTGCAATCGATTTCCCATCCCATGGTAAACTGAATACTCTGGTTAAGCAAATTATAACTGATGTGTAATGCTTTTTTTTTCTTAATTGCCTACAGCTGCATTTTACAGTTTATCTGCTAAGAAACGCTAAATCATCTTTTGAGACTCCTGCTTTTACAAAAACAGATCCAAAAAAAAGTGTTGCTTGCTAGCTGGAAATTTTAACTAACAAATTTTTTCCAACAATTTCAAGATTATCAAAAATATTTTTTACAAAGAGTTTAAGAAACCATTCGATTATTTTTCTCTGTATACTTGGTGAATACCTCTTGTCAGTCTCAGCTACTTAATATATCTTTGTAATTAATAGATTGTTGATCTTGTAAAAATTAAATATCTTTCTTTCTTGAGGTAACTGATTGACTCTGATCACTTTCAATTGTTTTAATGGCATTTGCAGCAGAGAAGTCTAAAAAAGAAAGACCAGAAGGACTAAACCATCTTTTCTTTTAATTACTTTTCTTTTTTTAATTTGATTTAAAGATTTACTTTTAAAATGTTGTTTCAAGGAGGTCTATTGATTGTAGAAAATACAACAAAATCATGAGCATTTCGCCTATCCTTAAGTTTCAGTGGAATCATCTTGTTGAAATAATACCACCTAAACTTAAATAAACAAACAAATGCAGAGTTGAAAATACATTTTTATTTGTATCTGAAGCTAAAGAATGGGTTATTGAAAAAAAGGAAATTCGGGTTTCATTTGATGTAATTAATTGGTATTCATCTGTTCCTCTAGATAAAGCAACGATTGCTATAATTGATATTTTAAACAAAGAAAAAAATGATCTCATTGTGCAAACTAAATTGTCATTAGTAGATATTTTCAAGCTTATTGGACTTAGTGTAAGTAAAAGTTGTTTTTTATGGGATGATAGAAATTTACTTATGTAAGTTTTGGATGATAAATTCTTTAAAATTCTGGTCTGATTGGTTTGTCTAATATGGTTGTTATGTCAGAAGCTTATCTACAATTTATCAAATTTAATGCTATTTAACAAGCTTTAAGCTTTAATACTGCGCTAATTACTTATAAAAGGTATGTTGAAGGTAGTCACGCTTAATTTTCTTAATTGACAATGCAGATTCTTTTTTAGATATTTTAAGTTCAATGATTACAAGCCAATCAGTATACGATTAAATACCAAAGTTCTTAAGATCAACTAACTTTGTATTTCCACCAATTAATTTTTACATAAATAGTAATGTGTTAATTAAACCACATTATTCAATTTCACCAAGTATAGCAGTAAGTATTTTTAAAGGTTTTCTTTCAAGAGCATATCAAATATTTTCAGAACAGGATATTCAGAATAAAATTGAGTTACTTGTTAATGTGTTTTCTCAAAATAGATACTCATACAATCAATTTTTAGAATTAACAAAAAATTATCAACTATCACAATAAAAAACAAAAAACCAGCTAGTTTATTTCCAACAAACCATAAACCCTGGAGAAATTATCATACTGCTGTGGGTACAGAAACTAACCATTATACTTAAAAGAGAGTTTAGTAGAGAGATATAAAAACTATTTTTTTGCTATGGTAATTCTTCACTTAACATTTTATGTTGCAATAAATTGACACATCCAAATAGTTATCCGGGTGTTTGTCAGCTATTTTGTTCATATGGTGCAAGTTTTGTTGTTGAAACAAGAAATAAAATATTCACATGCATTAATGAGCATGATAGAAACATAACTTAACTGGGACAGATAAGGTATAATCAAATTATTTTTTCAGTAAAAATGAACAATGGTTGGTTGCCCTCATATAGCAGGTCTCAAAAATGGTCTGAGGGGTGGCGATGTCCGGCACTTATTTCGACCCCTGCGCATATCAGAGTGGTACAATTATCTGGACTAAACTAAAAATAATTTCTGTTATGCCTAATAACTATTCGTTTCACAAATCTTTTGCGTATAGTAATTAGGCATAACAGAATAGTTATTAAGCATAATTGTTGCACATATAATTATTAGGCATCTCTAAACTGCTACAATGGTAATTTAGTAATGACAAGCCATTGGAGATCACTTAACAGGTTTACATCTTTATATTGCGATGACATAATTTTTGTTTTAATTTTATGAGTTTGTATAATATATATGTATGTATATATATGTATATATATATATATATATATATATATATATATATATATATATATATATATATATATATATATATATATATATATATATATATATATATATATATATACGTAGTCAGTAATCAATGTTCTAATTTTCTTATTATAAGAAAACTTCTAACTATATTGCCAATAGTAGTACTACCCCTTGACCTGATGAGTCTGCAAAAGCCTACTTGATTTGTGTTCTTTTGCCAATTTACTTGTATATATTCTTCTTCCCTACCTCAAGGAAGTGCACTGATGGCTGTCTAAGTGCACTGACTCTGTTTATGCATGGACTTCTGAAGCTATATGAACCACCACATTCATAAAGTGGTTGAATCCACAGAGTAATCCATGGGGTATAGATCTTATATTAGATCCAGTAGTATTAGTATATTAGATCTTATATTAGATCCAGAGAGAGAGAGAAAATCAAAAATTGACATTTTACTACATAATATGAAGCTATCATAATAAAAATAAATTTAAAAAACATAATTTTTTTTTTATGCTTTGCAGAGTGTACACAAAGTGTACTTTGTAACTGATTAATTTATAAATAAATTTTAAAATATATTGGTTTAAAGAATTCACAACAGTCATGGAAGCTACTATTTTTTAATCAGATTTTAATGTTATTAATAACCTTTTCTCAGCTCAGTTAAACAATACAAAAAATCTTTAAGATCATTAAAAAAATTTAATAATCAAGGCACAAAGAAATAAGTTGAGCAAATACAGAGAATTGGTGTGAAATCTTGTTCTTACAAAGTAAAAGTTTAACAAATGTACTAATGCTGTATAGTTTTAACAATTATTTTATTTTAAAATATGTTTTTCTTTTTTCTGTTTTTTATTGTTCCTTTACCATTACCAATATATTTTTGTGTTGCTTTGCGCTTTTTTGTATAAGTACAATGTTTTGGCTGGCAAAACACAATGTTTTGGTTGGAGAAATAAAAAATGATAGTTTGCACGAGAAGCAGTAATGTAGTATTTGTAAAAAAAAATCAAATCATAAAGCCTTGTAATAATTGGATATTTAAGCTTGTCAGCTTGTGGTTTTCAAACATTTAATTATAAATATATATTTTATAAAAATAGTTATAAATAACTTGCTTTTTAAAAATAAATTAATTACAAAATACAATGATTACACAATAAATTTCTAATAAATTAATTAAAACTGTATAATAGTCCTAAATTTTTAAATAAAAATTTTTTATCATTATTATTAATACTTTATTATCTATCTGTTTAATTACATTATTAATTAAATGGTTATTTCATTATACAAAAAACAATTCACAGTTTTTTTAACATTTTTGTATTTAAAAAATTTATGTAGTTGTTGTTTTATTTTTAAATTTTAGGTAAACGAAGTCATTGCTTATATTCATCAGAGGCTAAAATTGTATTTTGCGAATTACAATTAAAAAAAAATGAATCCAAAACATGTGTGAAACTTTCTACTTTTTTATATTTTTTTATATATATATTTTATACATATATATATATATACTTTATACATCAAGTTCTTTTTTATATGTATGTATGTATTTATGTATGTATGTATGTATGTATGTATGTATGTATGTATGTATGTATGTATGTATGTATGTATGTATGTATGTATGTATGTATGTATGTATGTATGTATGTATGTATATATATATATATATATATATATATATATATATATATATATATATATATATGTTAAGCTGTAATATTTTTCTTACTCAATTTCTTTTTTATATATATTTTTCAGTGTTTCCTTTGCAAAACAATCAAATCACCAAAAAAATGTTATATTTTAGTCATGTATAGCCAGTCTCTCCCTCTATCTCTGCCTCCTTCATATTCTGGACAGTACTTAAAAATATCTTATAAAGTATCAATTGGTATTGGTGGAATAAATCAACCATTATGTATCATAAATTTACCATTTAAACTTTTTGAAATGAAATGTAACATATTTTCAATTATAATATAATTTTGAATTTTGTTCTGGTTTCTGTTGGTATTTTAAATAAGCAGTTTTACATTATCAAATTTACATTTTTTTTCATTACAGGTATTTATAAGGCTTTAAAAACTCGGTTTCAAAATCCTCTTTCTGATGGTATAGCTAAAAATCAAGTTAATGAAAAAACCAAAAATCCTTTTCATGAAGATGACGCAGACAGAGAATCTTCTCTTGAAATTTCTATGGATCTTCTTACAAATATAACAACAACAAAGAATTTAAGTAAAATTATATTAAATATTATAATTTAATAATTATAAAATAAATTTATGTAAAATATAAAAATACTAATAATCATAAATAACTTTCTTGTAATTGTTAACATCAAATCTGCGATAACCAACAAAAATCTTTTTGCTATCAGTAACACCCACACACCTTTATCCGCACAATCATTAATAACATCTTAAAAACCATTAACAACCTTCTCACAATCATTAGTAATCATACAAACATTAACTTCTTTTTTCTGAAAACTATTTGTTGCTAACATTAGCATATTCCACCAAAACAACTTTTTTTTTAAATCTTTGACAATTTTTTCAAATTGTAATTCGATATAAAATCATTATCAGAATAAAAGATTCAATGACCAATTAAACTAAATGATGAATGAAATGTCGATCTCTTTAGATACATATAATATTCAAAGTGCAAATGGAATTGTTGGAAAATTTTGCTTATCTAAAGTTTACTATAGGCTTGGAGAAGATGTTCTTGGAATGTTTGAGTTCAGTAAAAGTTCCATACCCTGTATCAAAGTATTTACAACTTGATTTTTATTTTAACATTTTAAGTTTTTAAATAAAAAATTTTTGTCATCAGATTTTATTAATCTTTATTTTTTTATGCTTATGTTTAATAATATGTAATTTTCTGCTTCCTGTTCTTTCTATTTTCTGTATATATGTACAAAATAAGTTATTATTATTCTTGTATTTTATGTGTAAGTTTCAAGGTATTTTGTTTCTGTATGAATATGGTATGTGATTCACATCTAACTGCATTTGATCTTAGTATTTTTTCTACTTGTTTTTTTTTAAATGTATTTTCCTTGTATTTTATTTATAAATCAGGCTCTTTTTTTTATAAAGAATATTGCCCAGCACTGTATTTATTGAGCGACCGCGCTGTATTTATTGAGTCAATAAATGCAGCGCTGTATTTATTGAGTGCTAAAAATGATACTTTTTTTCGAACCAGACCCCGGCTAAACTATAAGATTTAACAGGAGTTAAAAGCCGGGGTTAGAAAAAAATTTATAATACTTTATATATTATAATTTTATGCTTACATTTACTATTTATTAAATACTGGCATAAATTTATATATTTTTAAACTCTAATTTACTTCCAACAAGATTGCAAGCAACCACTATTAAGTTATGAGTTACTTTCAAATAGAGAATAGGTAAAAATACTAGGAAATGGTTAACTCATGAATTGAAAAGTTGTAAGTTGTTTATAAAAGAAAAATATGAAGATGGCTAATAGTTATAAGTTCTTTTGATGTGCAAGGAAAAAAACTGGATTAATCAAAGTTTGTGTAGCATGAAGGGACAGATACAGTAAAAGGATGCAACTTATTGAATGAGAAACAAGAAAGAATTAGTTTTGGTTTATTGTATTAGAGGTGATAGCTTGTCTGAGCATTGACCATGATTGTATTTGTAGAAAAAAGAAAGAAATGCAACCTTACGAAAATTGGAGAGTGGCTCAAGCTTGGGAGATAAAGCAGATCTAATTACATTTACAATATGCTTTTAGACTTTGTCTGAGAGTAAGAAGGTTTTTGTTTATCAATATAGGAATGCCAACAATATTGTAATATTTTTTTGCAGTAAATAAATGAGTTTTGTTGTCTAACAAAAGTTGTGGATTTTAAATCCAGACTTGAAATCTACAAGCCACTGCCAGCCTTAGGCTGTTACAGAAAAAAGTGAAGACTTCAAGAGAAAAGTGTTAGTTGAGTCATCAGCAAATAGAGCCACTTTAGATGTAAAAATTTCTAGAAGATGGATATTGTAGATAAAAAATAATACAGGAACTAAGGTAGAACCTTGTAGTATCCTTAAATTTACTTGGAATAAAGAAGATGGTAGGCTTTCAAGAATAACTTTACTACTGCAGTTAGAAAAAAGTCATTTAATAAAAAACCTTTATATAAAGAAACTAATAAAATAGTAAAAGATAATTGTAGTTGGAGAGGTCAAAGTGTTTTCTAGAGTTTTGAAAAATTGGAATCACTTATTTAGTTTATAATTTCATAAAAACTTATAAAAATTTAGCAATAGTTGAGACTTCTGGATAACACTTTTTTAAGACTATGATGGAAATCTATTCTGGAGCACAAACTGTAGAAGTGTTAAATTAAGAATTAACTTAAGCATTGGAAGCCAGAGTGATTTGAATAACAATGGGTTAATCTGTTCAACTGTCATGAAGAGTACAGTCATTATATTCAAGAATTATAATATGATTTCTTTGCAAATAACTCTGCTTTATTCTGGGGAGAAGTAAAAAGATCAGACACATGAACTAGAGATTAAATGTTAGACTTACTTTAATTGATGACATTGTTGAAGACCAAAAGTCTCTGGAACATGACATCTGAGATAAAATATGAGATTTAGTAAACTGAGAATAACAGAGCTTAACATCAGACTACTTTTTTACATTAGCTTTTTGCAATAATAAAAGGAAATTTGTTTTTAAGAGAGATGTTCTTGTAAAAAAGATGAAAAAAAATGATTATTGTGTTATAAAGCAACTGCTCAAGATGGTGAAAAATGTGGAGTAGAATGAGGTTTCTGATCTACTTCACTTTTTTTTTCATTTTCTCTTTTGGCAAATACTAATCCATATAAATACTTAAGTTTATATTACAATAAAAGAATATTTTATGCCAGCATCTAAATAAATAGCAAACAGATATATTTATATCCATAATATGTATGCATAAGTGCATCTGGGAAACTTTTATTCCTTCTGGAATAAATGTTTGGAAGCTTTTATTGCTTCTCTTCAACTTTGACTTAAAGTTAAAGAGAAGTAATCAAGGAATAAAAGCTTCCAAGATGCACTTTATGCATACATATTATGAATATAAACATATCTGTTTGCTATTTATTTAGATGCCTTTTATTGTTATATAAACTTTAGTATTTATATGGATTAGTATTTGCCGAAAAAGAAGACGATCAGATGGATGTATGGTGTAACTCAAGCAAAACAAAAAAAGAAGGCATAATCTTAGACAGATTGGAAAAAATGTATCGAACAATGTTTATTAGAAAAGATTTAAGTAATTTAGGCATCAGCATGTAGAGAGTACTAGCTTCAGTAGAAAATTGTAGTGGTAGTAAGAAAACTTGAGAGTACATAATGTATGAATGAGTTAAGAAAAAAAAAGCTCTAGATTGTTTATATTAGAGAAACTAAAAGCGAAAAAAAATTCTCATAAAAGCGAAAGGTTAAATGTTTGGAAGCTGATGATGATGATCATGATCATGATAATGATCATCATCATCAGGCTTTAGCATTCCTATTTTATGCTGTTATCTTATATATGTTATACATATGCTGTTATCATATATATGTTATACATACATGTGATGATGATGATTGTGATCATAATGATGATGATCATCATCATCATAATTATCATGATAATAATGATGATTATGATAATCATAATGATATTTATATATGCATATATATACAAAATATAACATAAATTTTGAATTAAAAAAAAACAAACTTTAGGTTGATTAAATGTTTATGCAACCCGGTCTCAAACCCGGCCCCTATTTTGCATTTCCAAGTCGGTCACAAACCCGGCCCCTATTTTGCATTTCCAAGCTGTATTTCGCATCTATATATTGTCAACAAGCCTACTTGTCATTAAGTCAATGAGAGTGATTGTTGAAAAATTATGTTGCCATTCTGTTACTTGTAAAAAAATTTATTTTTTATTATTTTAATTCACCTCATCAAGGCCAAGAAGGCCACTACAGACAAGGAGGCTACTTATTTGCGGCTATAACCCTCTCTCAACTCTATAACTCTGAAACATGAACCTTGACGAACAAGGCCGCTGCGCGGAGAATTGAGTTGAGCGCTGTACTACCAGGGACGTGGTGGGGATCGAACTCGGAACCACTCGTTTATGAAGCAAGCGCTCTACCACTACATCACTACCGCATTTGTTATACAGTATTTTTTTGTTGATAAATATTTCAAAATTATTATCTACTAAAGAGTATGTTTGATGAAAATGTTCATTAGACTTTCCAACTTCTTGCTTATTGTTTGTGTCTGACTGCATTTTTTATTTTTACCTAGCTCCTATTTCTTCTTTATTTCTTTGTTATTGTTTTCATCTATTCAATCAATAATATTACAGCATTAGCTTAATTAAATAATATTTAACTGTTTTAGTATTTCTTTTAATTAAATAATTTATAAACTTATAAATTATTAAATTGAAGTTGTATAATAATAATAATAATAACAATAATAATAATTCAAATTATCTTTAAATGTGTGTTACCTCTGTATGCTTTGTATACTGTAGGCCTTGTTAAGAAGTGTTACACCATGTGAGTTTTGGTTATGAAATAGCGATTTCACCTATGCATTAAGCCATTTTTTCAATCAGATTATTTAAACAGTCTTTTAAAAAAGTTTATGCAGAAAATATTAAGCATTAATTAATTGTGTTAAAAAACATTTTCACTGCAATTGTGAAAGAATTTTTTTTTTAGATAAAATTTTTTTTTTTAGACAAAATGGATGAAGTTAAATAAATTTTTTTCTACTTTTGGTTTTTTTTTTAAACTTTAATTGAAATTTATTTTATCTTTAAATTAAGTTTATTATTAAATATTAATAAATTTAAATTTATTTTATTTAATTTTATTTTAAATTTATTAAGTTTAATTTTCACTTTTTTAAATTTAAAATACTAAATTTTACAATTTACAACCTTTAAAAATTCCAAACATCTTAAAAAAAATTATTTTTATCAAATTTAATTTTAGTTACTTTTTTATATTCATATTACATTCAACTATTTTGTTTATTTATAGTTTTATATTTTTATTAGTTTATTAATTTATTTTTTAATAATTTAATAATTTATTATTTATAAATTTCATATATATTCATATAAATTTCATATATATTTCAAATCAAAAATTTTTTTTCATACTGTTACAAATGTGCTAATATACAAAAATGTTTAATGCTTATAGCTGCTTATAACTGTATATAAATGCTTATAACTGTATATAACTGCTTATAACTGCTTATAACTGTATAAAACTGCTTATAACTGTATATAAGTATGTTGCCATAATAAAGTCTGTAGACAAAATTAATTTAGAAAATTTTGTTGTAAACTTTACGTAACAAATTTATGAAAAGATAATTTTTTTAGTTTTGAAATTGTTTTTTCATTAAGCTTTAAGATTGATCTTAGAATGAACATCAATTAGAAATGATTTTAATTATTTTATGATTAGTAGGTGAAGATTTTTCAGCCAAAATGTTAAAAAAAAAATTGTTGATAGTTTTATTTTTTTTTTTTACCATTTGGAAATTCACCCTAAACAATCGCCCCCCTCATTTAAAAAAATTAACTAAATTGTGAGAAAGCAAACTTAAGACGATAATGTCATTTTATATTGTTGTGTTATTTGTTATAAATTTTGTTGTGTTAAAATGTTTTAAGAAATAAATAATATAAGCTTAATATAAGGTTTTTTTTTTTTCAAAAAATATTTAAATTTTATTGATAATTTTTTAATATAAATATTGTTTAATTAAAAAATTAAATTTTAAATATATTTTATTAAGATAAAGAGTTTAAATAATTTAATACACCTCAATATCAATAATAATAAAAAAAAACAATTAAAATAAAAATAAAACTTTTTATGTTTTATTATAAAATACTCTTAACACGTTCACGCCGGCGTGTACCACCGGTGGTACACACTAGGCTGTCTCATTGGGCAGCGTGTACCACTGGTGGTACACACTAGACTGTCTCATGAGACAGTCTAGTGTGTACCACCTGCCCAATGAGACAGTCTAGTGTGTTTACTACTAAATTTAAAATTAAACAAAAAATATTATGGATCACACAAAAAATATCCTGAAACTATTTTAAGAATTTTAGGTTCCTTTTTATTAACAGCTAAAACTACATTTCATCCCATTTTGGATGATAAATCTTTCTAATATAGTTTCTTACCATAGTTGTTTACATTACACTGTTTATACTATTAATAATCAAAGTTAATAAAATAACAATTCCTTTGAATTTATTACTAGTATTATTTTTCTACAGAATTTATTTTTTCTGAATAATAAAAATTATATTTTAGATTAAAAGTAAAATCATCAACTGTAAACAAAATGGTAGTTATATTGTCAATTATATAAATTTAAGCAGCTGTTGCGCTTAAATTTATGTAATTGACAATAAAAGTTCATGCCTCCTTGGGAAGGAGGCATGAACTCCCTATTAAATGCTCTTCTGCGGTGCTCTGTGATAAGACCGTAAGGACTTCTTAGAGCACCTAAAATTAAAAGGAAAAAAATAGCTTTTTGTCCTGATATGCCCCACAGTAGTCATTTTACTGAAATTAAAACTATTCAAAAAGTTCAATTCCAGATATTTTTTAAAACCAGATTCTAAAAGAGGGTAAAAACTGTCTGAAAACTATAAACTTTTTATAAATAAAGCAAACTAGCAATAGTGCAAGATAAATCTTTTGTATTGCTTAAGAAAATATGTAAATTTTGTTTTTTGCAAACTTATTGATATATTTTGGTACTTTTAATGCATTTTGGTACTTCAAAAATTAACTTTTTTTTTACAATAATGAAGCACAATAGCTTAAAATGTTTTATCAAAAAAAAATTTTGGAAAAATTTTTTTTTTAGCTGAGATATAACTTTCAGGTATGCCCTACTGTTATGCCCTACTGTTTCGATACTGTTATGCCCTACTGTTATGCCCTACTGTTATGCCCTACTGTTATGCCCTACTGTTATGCCCTACTGTTATGCCCTACTGTTTCGATATGCCCTGCTCTACCCTACAATGCAGTACTTTAAAATGCGCAACTGACATAACTTAACTTTTAAAGATATAAAAATGGATGTTAAATAAAGTTACATTTACTTGCATTACATTTTTCCATTATGCAAGAAAATCTGGTAACAAGGTTTGTATGTTACTACTTTAAGATGATGTTACTACTTGTCTGAATTTTATCTATGCATTTGTTGTTTTTTTAGAATTTTACGTTGTAGACCTTGATCAAGAGATTGCTAATGTTATCAAAAAAATCTTTTAAAATTAAAAAAATATGACTGTCTAATATGCCCAATTTTCTTTTAAAATAAATATACTTAGGTCGTTAGGAAAATTTGTAGAACTCCCCTATAAAAAAAAAATAAAAGAGTTTTTTTTAATTTTATTTTGTTAAATGTTCAAAATAGTGTCCATCATTATCTATACAAAGTTGCATCCTTTCAAGCCATTTGTGAAGTGTTTTTTTATACTCTTCTTTGGGTATACTTTCAAGTAGCTTCATTATCCTGGTTTTTTGGCTTTCAACGTCAGTATCATCATCAAGATTTTTTTTTATCAAGTCGAATAGCCAATAATTAGATGGAGCTAAGTTTGGTGAGTATGGTGGGTGGCAAATTATTGTAATTATAGCTTGGTTTAGACAATTTGTGACAGTTTGAGTTACATGGGGTTGAGCGTTATCATGAAGAAATTTGAAATTATGAGTGCCCATTTTAGGTCTTTGCTTATTTAATTTGCATATAAGAGGTTTCAAACAATTTTTTATATAATATTCGCTAGTAATGGTGTCTCCCTTTTCAACATAACTCATATGAACAACACCTGTTGTTTTGAAGAAGATGTAGAACATGCTTTTCGACTGAATCCTATTGCATCTTACTATAGTTCTTGGACTTTCACCTTCACCGACCCAACTAGCGTTAGCTGACTTGTGTCCAACTTGTCTCAAATGAAACCATGACTCATCCCCTGTAACAATATCACATAACCTCCATGGGTTGTTTCTGAAAAGGGCTAAATTTTCCTTATATGCCTCAACTCTATTCTTTTGATTTTCATCGGTTAACTCGTGGGGTATCCAACGTGATGTTAGTTTTCTTTTTTTAAGTGCGTTGTAAATGATTTCGTTAATTGTAAAACGATGATGTCAAGGCTTCAATTATATCATGTGTTGCATGCAGATTTTCTTCAATAATGCCTTGCACATGTTCAATATTCTCAGCTGTATACATGGTTTTAAGGTGCCCTGAGCAAGGATCATCTTCAAGACTCTCTCTACCATCTTTAAATAAAGTAGCCCACTTGGCAACTGTACTATATTTTGGAGCTTGGTCACCATGAACTAAAATCAATTCATCGATTATGACTTTTGCTGAAATTCTAAGTAGAGCACGAGTTTTAATATATGCTCGATATTCAAGTTTTTTCATTTTTAAATTTTTTCTTTCAAACGTATATAATAAAATTTAAATAATTCTTTAAATAAACATTCAAAATATTTCATCAAGTATTTAATATGTTCATAATTAAACAC